CCATGTTGCTACCTAAATGATTTTTAGGGTCACTGTCAGCTCCAGCACCTACTAATACAATGATCTTTATGTAGAAATAATAAAAATATATGCATGTTATTTATGTGGCCATGAAGTTTGACAGCATAGTAGATTTAGAGTACATAGGTACTTTAGAAGCCAGTCTAGTCCAACCTTCTAGTTTCCTAGAAAGGAAAATGTGTCCTAGGAAAATTAAGTGTTCTCCCTGTAGTCACATAGGTAGGTAGCATCAGAAAATAAATTGAAACCCAGACGCTCTAGGTTTTTTTATTTTGATTCAATTTTATTTTTATTTACAAATGCAAAGTATTGCCCTCTCACTTCTCCTCCCCCACCATTGAGAAGACAAGAAAAATAAAACCCATTACCAGTATGTATGGTCAAGCAAAAAAAAATCACAAATTAACCATATCCAAAAAGAAAAGAAGGAAAAAGAAAATATGTCAATCTGAATCCATCACCTCTCTATCTGGAGGTAGAGAGCATGTTTTGTCATTAAGTTGTATAGATATACCATGGCTCAGAATTCCTAAGTCTTTCAGAGTTGATTATCTTTACAGTATTGCTATTATAGTATAAATTGTTCTCCTATTTCTGTTTACTTCACTTTCCTTCAATTCACAAAATCTTCCCAAGTTTTTCTGAAAACATTCCCTTCTGCTCTGACTCCTAAGGAGGGGATGCTTTTAAAATTCTACCATATATCTCTTGAATGCCCCAGTTTTCTCTTCTGGAATATTTTTATCTTTTCAGTATCTCCCCTATTAAAGAGGCCCTGGTGATATTTTATCTCAGTCCTTTTATTCAAAAGAAAAGTGGATTTGGGAAGCAATTAGTTCCCCTTTAGGAATCAGTTCATGACTATTTGCATTTTCAAAGAAATGAACAGAATAAAATTTCAAGCATAGATTGAAACTGAATTGCAAGCATATTTTGGGGATTGTGTCTTTCTTACCACTCAGGTAACTGCCTCCACTGCCTAAATATGAAACTGTGCTCTATTGACATGTTCTCACAGGAAGAGCTTATAAAAGCTTGGACCTCTGCACTGTCTCCTCTTCTACCCTCATGCATTCTTTACTTTGTTTTCAAAAGATGTGTGTATACAAACACACGCAATATAGATACATGATGTATACACATATGTATATACATCTGCACAAATATATATACACATATGTATATACATATATGTATACATATGTGTATGCATACATGCAGGTTTTTTTTTTTTTAAAGGAGAGATGGTAGAGACCCATGATTTCATTTGGGTAGGGAACTTTCACTTTCAAAACTCTCTTCCATGCTTCCATCCATCTGTCTGCAGTTTACAATCTTAGGGAGTTTACCAAGGCCTTAAAATGTTAAGTGACTTGAGTAGGAGAACACAGTCAGGACATATCGGAAGCAGGGCTTGCAATATGGCCAGGCTGACCCTCTATCTATCATTCCAGGCCACTTCTCTTTACCAGTACTCAAAGGGATTAAAATATCTACACAGTATGAGCTGCATTGCTGTTGCTACAATTGATATTTAAGAATCATGTACAATAAAACAATGTTATATTATTATCAACCTAAAATAATTAGCTTGTAAATCTAAATTACATGTTTTGATCTCTGTCTTTGTATCCCTAGCCCCTAGCACACTTCTAGGCACCTAGTAACATAATAGATACTTAAAAAATGCTTGGTGATGATTGATTAACTGTGATTACTGAATTTTTTTTCCGAATGGGTAAAACTTACTAAGCTTACTAAAACTAAAGTTTTCCCAACCTAAGTTCATGGATATTACCAAATAGACACTGAATGTTATCCATATTAGCGTGACATATAGATTTTTCAGACCATCTTGTATTTAATAATCCCTTCAAAGAATTTAACTAAAACATATTTGGTTTCTAGTTTGGCATTAGACCAGACCTTCTCCCTGTTACTAAAGAGTCAGAGTGGAAAGTCCCGGATTTTGCTTCTGTCTTCAAACTGATTTTGACAGGCTTGTGTAGGGACTTCCCCCACATATGCTGTGAGGAACTAAAAACTGACCTAGCTGAATACTAGCAGAGTTGTAAGGAAAATAAGAGTAGAGCTTACTTTTAAAAAACTAAGGTTTATATTAGTAGTTGATCTTTTAAAATATAATAAATGTTAGCTGCTCCAAACCTACTTATACATCAGAAATATAGTCCCTTTATTATATAATATATATATATATATATATATATATGAAAAATTCTTATCATTACTCCCTTAAAAGTGGATTGAGTTTTAGTTAATTTTTAACATTACTTAATTTAACATTGTTTACAAAATACTTAATGATACTGCTTTTTAAACCTCACTTCCAAGTCAAGGGGGAAGAAACAAACATTTTAGATTTTTCTAGGTAAACTAAAATTGCTAAATGTTACCATTACATTGGACTCTGTTCAATTTTTTATTATTCAAAGTCCCCGAATCCACCCCCACAAAAAAAACCAAACAACCCAACTCATCCCTCTACTGGTAAAGAATTCAGTTCAACTTAACTTTAAGTTTAATTAGTTTAAACTAATTAATTAGTTAAAGTTCAATTAATTAAACTTTAAGTTTAATGAGAATACCAGCTTTGGGTGTTGATGGTGAGGTGTATTGCCTTCTTCTTGGTGTGTCCTAGGAAGGAGTTTACCTTCGTTATTGGCTTACAAGGCCAGTATTTTTGTTAAATTACTTGGACTCTTCATTTAGGTTTCAGTATGTAGTTTTCAAATAGTCCTGCTGTAGGTATTAGGATAATGATTAGGAGGAAGTATGTGATGGATGCTACTTGGCCAATGGTAATGTAAGGTTGTTCTACTGGTTGGCCTCCAATTCAGCTAAGGGTAAGTAGATTCAGAACAGGATTTGTGAGATTGGTCGGAATATTAAGCTGCACTATTTGGATGTGTGGAGGAGTGGGATGATGAGGAGTACTTTTGTCGAGAGTCTACTGTGTAAGACATTGTGCTAGGTTCTAAGTGATATGCAGTACATAAATAAGAAACTCTACTGGAGTTTCCAGGCAGCTAGGTGATACAGTGGATAGAGCACAGGGCCTGGAGTCAGGAAGACCCAAGTTCAAATCCAGCCTCAGATACTTACTGTGTGATCCTGGGCAAGTCACCTAACCCTGTTTGTCTCAGTTCCTCATCTGTAAAATGAACTGGAAAAGGAAATGGCAAACCATTCCAGTGTCATTGCCAAGAAAACCCCAAATGGAGTCATGAAAAGTCTGAGACAACTAAACAACAACAAAAATTTGAATTTCCAGTATATTAGGCAATGTGACACATATTTGCATCTCTAGCATATGAAATAATACATGATAAATGCATAAGAGAGGTGCAGGCATAGTTCTACTTGAAGTTTGAGGAAAGAAGGGTCATTCCTGACTGAGGAGAATCCTTCAAGAACAGCCATTGTTCCCTCAGCTGTAAATTGAGGATAATTTTATTTATCTAATAGGATTGTAAGAAAAGCCTTTTACAAACTTTGAACCACCATAAAAATGTGTTATTATTAATGTGATTCCACCGTTGGGATAAATTAATATTCAATTAGCCCCTGAATTGCTCTATAGAAAAAGTAGCATAAAACTATGTATATTATTGATTAATAAATGTTATTTGATGATAGCAGTTGTATAGTGGAAAGGACATTGGGTTTAGAATTAGTACATCTGAGTATAAAGCGCTGATGTGCCAGCTGGTCCCTCCCTAACCTTTAGTAAGTTACTGTACCCAAGAGGGTGCTGGTAAGTGTTTAACAATCAGCTCTCTGAGGCGAAAGAAGTAGGCATAATACACTTGAGTTTAATCTGCATTATTAACATTCTCCATCATTTTGTTAAGTCTAGACAATCAACAAGACAAAAACTAAAGCTCGGGTTTGTATCATTCGACTATTTCTGATGTGTAAATGTAGTAGGTTAGAACAGGCTTGAGTGTACTCCTGATTGTATGTATTGGGCCTCAATTTTACCATTTGTAAAATTAGGTGATTGAACCAGATCAAAAATTCTTAACTTTTTGTGTCGTAGAACTCTCTGGCAGTCTGATGAAACCTGTTTATCCTTTGTCAGAATAATTTTTTAAATGCATAAAATAAATACATGGATTACGAAGGAAACCAATTATTTTGGAATGTCAAAATTTAAAAAACAAATGAATCCACAGACCTTATGGACTAGAAGGTCTTTATAGTCCTTCTAGTCTGATGTCCTACAAGTTGACATTGATTGTGGCAGTCACATATTTAAATAGAATATAAACTCTGTGAGGTTAGAGGTCTGTCTACCTTATGCAACTCTGAGTGTCCCAAATTTCAACACACATAATAAACACTCAATTGCTGGTTGATTTCATTGGGTGTGTGTGTGTGTGTGTGTGTGTGTGTATGTTTCATGTGTGTATGAGTGTGTACATGTTTTAAATCTACTATATAGCATTGGTATCTCTGTATGCTGTTTCAGCAAAAGGCCTTGATCTTTCTGTTTTCATTTCCTTAATTCACGATTGTCTTACCTTTTATTCTAACGCTTAACGTCACTTGGCACTCTAATTTGTGACAGAATGAAAGGTGTTGTATTTTAACTTATTCTCTTTTTGGTGTAAATAGTAAAAAGCAATCACCAAGATTATTTTTCCTAGTGGATATATGATTAAATGTCTTATTTTTATAGTGAATTGGAAAGTATAACTTTTCTCTTTTAAAATACCATGTTAAAACATAATTTGAATAAGAAAATTTAATCAAGTTTAAAGGATATGCTTTTTATTTAATTCCTCTTGGATACAAGGGAAAGGTGGCATTCAAGTAACTTATTTACATGTTTTTACTGTAGTTGTAGATTATAATTAGAAGAATGACTGGAAAGCTTTAATGTAAAATGATTAAATTTTTATTTGCAGTGTTGTAATGAGAACCATAATATGTATTCTCACTGTATTCTCTTATAGAAAATTTGTGTCCTGAACTGACAGCAGATGGACAACAATTTATACAAATCAGTAGAGAGAACTTCTCTATTTCAGGTGAGCATTATAACTTCATCCAAAACCATGAAAAGGATGGAATTTGACACAATATGTCTTATGCAGCTTTTTTTTCTGGGTATATAATGTATTAATTTATGTGAGTCTTTGCCATTAATCAAGGACAGTGTGTTTTCTATTCTTTGTAATCCGCTGAGTACCTAGCAAAATGCTGTGCACATAGTGGGTATTTAGGACACATTTATTGACTTTTATGGAATGGTATTTGCCATATTCTTTGTAACTTGGAGCCAAGGTAGAGCTATTTGAAAGTTCAAATGCTGAAGATCCTGGCATAGAATTTTTGGAAAGTGTTTTCACTTTTACAGAAAAAGAAGAAACACTAGAAAATCGTCCAAGAAAGGGATAATGGACAAGGTTGAAATCTTGAGATTCAGAAATGATTTTTGAATGAGTGAATGAAAACACATTTATTAAAACTCTGTGCTAAGCTACCAGGATTGCTCCCTTGGATGATGGTCTCAGTGGCCTTGAAATAATGTTTTTTTCTTCATTACCTTAGAAAGAGGGAACTAGATTTTTCATAATTTCTTTGTCACATTGTAGAACTGCAATCTAGTTAAACTTATTACTAATTCTTGTCCCTGATATACATTGCCAGTGTAACCCTGGGCAAGTCAGATAATAATAATAATAATAATAATAATAATAATAATAATAATGATAATGATATTGATAGCAGCTAACATTTATACAGCACTTATTATGTGCCAAGCATGGGGCTAAGCATTGGGGATACAAAGAAAGGTGAAAAACAGGTCCTGTCCTCAAAGAGTTCATAGGGGCAGCTAGGTGGTGCAGTGGATAGAGCTCTGGCCTTGGAGTCAAGAGGACCTGAGTTCAAATCCAGCCTCAGACGCTTGACACTTACTAGCTATGTAACCCTGGGCAAGTCACTTAACTCTGATTGCCTCACCAAAAAGAAAGAAAAAGGAGCTTACAGTCTAATGAGGGAGACAACATGCAATCAACTACATACAATCTATGTACAGGATAAATTGGAGATAATCAACAAAAGGAAAGCACAAGCATTGAGACATCAGAAAAGGCTTCTCATAGAAGGTGGGATTTACCAGGGAAGCCAGGAAGTGGATATGAAGAGAGAAAGAATTTCAGACATGGGGGACAACCAGTGGGATGTGGAATTTGAGGAATAGAGAAAACCAGTTTGGCTCGCTTATGAAGTGAAAGAAGAGGGCTAATAAAAAAAAATGAGACAAGAAAGATAGGTTGGAGTCCAGGTTGCAAAGGACTTTAAAAGTCAAAGAAGAGTTTATATTTGATCCTGGAGAGAATAAAGAAGAATTCACTGGAGTTGATTGAGTAGGGGAGTGTTGTGATCGGATCTACACTTATGGAAAATCACTTTGGCAGAATCATTCTGCAACATCAGAGAAGTAATTTCATCCTTTTGTCCCCTATATTGAGAAAATTTAATCTGGAAATTCTGCTGACCAACATTAGTAGCATTTGAAAAATCTCATCAATCAATCTATATAGAGGAACAACAATAACCCTTCCAAAAGTCAATGTCTCGCCAATTTTTCTTAAGTTTACCTACTGGCTGAACCAAGTCATCATTTTTTTTACAGGTTTTGATTTGGGACATAGCTTTTCTCTGAGGAAAGTGTCCTGTGGAGATGAAAAAACTTGTTTTAAACTGGGAAATGCACTTCTTATTAGAGATACTCAGTAAGTAAAACTGTTATATTTCTAATAGTTCCACATAAGCTTCTTTCCTGAATGATTAAACCTACTATTAACTCAGAAAATGGGTCCTGATATTGTATGTCTCTTTAAAGTCCTTAATCAATATCCCATTATGATGCCTTAAAAGATTCAGTGGCAGAGCACAATATCTCACAGATTCTATGAAGGTGGAAAGGTTCTGAGTACAGGCCCAAAATATGGGCTTTATGTCCGCTGTCTGAGTCACAACCTAGTAAAGTTGAAACTTACCTTCAGAAGGTCCTACTCCAGGCAGGAGCAGGTAGGAGGCTAGGGGCAGCTAGGTGGTGTGGTAGATAGAGTGCCAGACCTGGAATCAGGAAGACTCATTTTCCTGAGTTCAAATTTGGCCTCAGACACTAGCTGTTTGTCTCTGGGCAAGTTACCTAACCCTATTTGCCTCAGTTTCCTCATCTGTAAAATGAGCTGAGAAGGAAATGGCAAACCACCCCAGTATCTTTGCCAAGAAAACCCCAAAGGGGTCACAAAGAGTCAGGCATGATTGAAAAACATCTGAACAACAACAACAAAAGGAACAACACAATGAAATCATAGTTCTTTCTGGGGTTCTGAAGTAAGAGATTTTGTGCTCTATATTGAAATGCTTCGGGGAAATTAGCCTACTGTATGTTTTTATTTGTAATAAGTTTTCCATTAGAATTGCAAATACATAGACACACACACACACATATATATTTATATACGTATGTGTATGTACCTCTCTCTCTCTCTCTCTCTCTCTCTCTCTCTCTCTCTCTCTCTCTCTCTCTCTCTCTCTCTCTCTGATAGGGCCTGGCACAAAATATGCTGATTGATTAAATGGATCTTCATTTTAGGAACTCTAGAAACTTGTGCTATCTATATAGTAACTACAGAGACACTACCATCATGTGAAAGCATAGGAGGTAGGGAATGCACCTTCTCTACAGCTTTAGGGAGTTTTAGAGACTTGCAGAGACCTGAGAGATTTAAGTGACTTGCCTAGGGTCACTCAGGTAGTACATATCAGAGTCAAGACGTGAACCTAGATTTTCTATGTATTATGCCACATTACCTTTCATATGAGAGGAATTATGAGAAAGGAAATGAAAATCAGTTTTGAAGAGATATTTCAGTTATTTGAAAGTGCCAATTTTTAAATTTCTATGAGACTGTAATATTTTACTTTTACCATGGAGATTTTTAAAATGTGAGATTCTAAATCTCTAGAAAAAATGCTATTTGATAGCTAAAGCAACTGCATTCAGAGTCCAAAGTTAATGTATGCTATATTTGCATATGTTTGCTATATTTGCATCTTTTTTTTTTAAACCAGCAAGTTGCCTCTTCCCATGGAGCCATGGTGTGTACAAGGGCAAATGACTTTGCTTTTATGTGTTGGAGCAACTTCATTTACATCCTTTCTCTTTGACCATAGTTTATAAAAGAGGTCAGTCTTTATTCCTCTACTGCTTTGAATCATAAAGAAGAGAAATTATTATACAACAAGAGCTCATATTCTTAGTGTTCATGGTATATACTGAAAAAGATAAATAAGAAAACAAAAGCTCTCCTGATTGCATGCAGTCCCCACCCCCTTCATTATTGATATTTCCCCTCTTTTAATTTAAAGATACGTTTTCCATAGTTTTCTTTGGGAATTTGTGTTGTCTAATGACCACATAGGAGCCTAAGAATTGAATGCTTCAGTATTTTTTTTTATTGTAAGTTTGTTTTGTGACTGATTTGTTCTGTTCCCTTCAAAAAAAGATTTTTTTTGCAGCAATATCTTTGATTTTTAAAATGGTTTATTGATAATTTTTGGTTTTGTATATCGTAATAATTTCCTAATGCTTCTTTTCCCAGTTCCCCCTCCACCAAAAGATTTAACCCTTGAAATATTGACAAAAAGATAATTTACTCTACTAGTTAATAATAGTTGACATTCAATATTTTGAGACAGCTATGGTGTGGTGGATAGTGAGCCAGCCTTAGAGCAAGAAGTCCTAGCTGCAAATCCTATCTTTGACACAAACTGGTTGTGTGACTCTGGGCAAATCAATTGACTTCTCAGTGCTCTAAGCAACTCTCCTAAGTTGCCCAGAAGGCGCTCACCTACTTTGGTAGAGGGAGTTTCCTCATCTGGAAGTTACCTATGCCCGGTGAAATCACAGGTCTAGTCCCTATCCCTAATAAGGATATTAACAATAATAATAGCTGACATTTATGCAATATCTTAAGGTTTGAAAAGCACTTTAATAATCAGTTGCACAAGAGTGAATGGTTGATATAGTGTTTTACAGCTTTTAGAACTAAGAGTTTGGCTCTTGGCAGGTGGCATGTAAACACAAAATACTACTAGTTGACATTGCAATCACAACATAAGAGTAAAGCAGACAGAGTAAAAATAGAATTGAAGCTCTCTTTGATCTCATATGAAACAATGAGGAGTGTCTCTAGTTATGTGTGTTATTTCATTGTCATGTTGGGTAATTTAATATGTGAGTTAGCCAAGTTAGCTGACAAGTCTGCTGAGAATCTCAACATTGGGATTTCTCAGTGTGAATAATCACTGGACTCTCCTACTCTTAAATGCTCCAGATAAGCAGCATAGGAAAGTAGGCAACAATTCATGTAGAAATGTGTCCTTCCTCCACTCTTCTTCACCGACATTTTTTTCTTGTAAGATACACCCTTCCCAACATTGCTTTTCAAATGACCCATTTAAGAACATTTTAAGTGAATTTATTTTCTAATGAGATTAGACTTCAAAAAATAAAATCTTCATTAAATGTTAAGAAACAAATGTAGGTGAAAAGAGAGTCATTGGATATAAGGGATTATCACAAATCATGGCCAGACAGGGTCAGCTGAGGCAGGTGCAGCTTCACCCAAATTTGTGTCTTAGCAGTATTGAGTTCTGGTGACATCAGGCGCACAACCTCACACACTTAAATTGCGTCAGTTCATGACTAGAGAGTCTGTCAGAGGTCATAGAAAATCTACAGTTAGAACAGCCTCTTTAGCAATCTCTCATTATCAAACCATTTATTTTTATTATAAAGTTTTTATTAGTAGTTTATTGTTATAGTTTATATTATCAACATAACAATTCATTAATTTTAATTGTCATTAATACATTATTAATAATAATAACATATTATTAATAATTTAAAGAAAGGTAGCCAGTTCTACTCCAAAACTCCAGTTCCACGCCAAAACTGAAGCTGTTACCTCAACCTCTTCATCTTCTTATCCCCATAAAATGTTGCTGATTTAAATCCCATCAATGTAATTGAGTGGAGAAAGGATTAAAGTGGAAAACTTAAAAACATTTTTTTTGAATCATTATTTTTGTGGAAACATTTCATACGGTTTAGTCACTGGAGAGAGAATATGTCTTTATTCAGGCCCAATGACTGTTTGCCCTTGAATCTTTATAAACACAACTATGTGGCACAATTTTATATTTATTTTAAAAGCCTTTCACTTTAAATCTCTACTTGATCCATTGACATATGTAAATAACCTTTTTGGCTGTGAGTAGCAGAACTCTGGTACCTCTACTACAGGAAACTGGAGGGTGTCTGATTAAGCTGACTAGCTAGTGTCAAGTACCTTGGCGCCTCTCCACTTACATTTCACTCATTCAGCCAAAGTGTAGGTAATAGTAAACTGTGCTGCTAGGGTACTTCTCTTGCATGATGCCATTTTGATTTTTCAATGAGCCCAGGGTAAAGTTACAGCTATTTATATGTTTGTAAATAAGCTACCATGCAGAGTCAGCATGGGAAAATGTGGGTGCTAATTTATATTGAAATGGAAATATATCCTGTGACTGTACCAGATGAATGAATGAAAAAGCATTTATTAAGCACTTACTATGTGCCAGGCCATGTGCTAAGTGCTGGAAGCATGAATACAAAAGAACTTATAATTCTAATGGAAAGGCAACACAAATAGGGAAGTAGTGGCTAGAAAGGAGTGTTTTGGTTTGGGAAATTACAGGAATGGCAAACAAAGTCATAGGGCAGCAGATGCAATGCTGGTGTTGATTTGATTATTGCTCCTAGAGCACCATGTGGAAGGCAGGGAGTAGTCTATGCAGTGTGGTGAGAAGATAACCCGAAGGAAACATAGTTGTAGATCTGGGGCCAGATAGATACAGTATGACTAATATATACTTACATACTGTAAGGTAGTGAGCTTGCTGGTCATTGTGGCTCTAGTGTCTAGAACCTGTCACTGATAAAGGGAACTCAAAGGTCATTTATACATGAGGCGGTAAATGTAAAGAGGGAAAAGAAATCCTAGTGTAGTGTCAATCAGGCCAGATTTAGTCAGATAACCTCAGGTTTAAATCACAGCTCTGCCACCCACTAGTTGTGTAACCGTGCATCTGTGTAACCATGCAAATGACTACCTCTCTGGTCATCAGTTTTCTCATTCATAAACTAAAGGGATTGGACTCAATGGGCCTCTCTATGACCCTTTCCAGTTCACAAATTATTATCCCATGATCTAAGTGTAGGATGGATTGGGAAAGTGGGTTTGGGGATCCAGAATGTATCTAGACTCCCAAAAGCCCTCAAGATACCAATAGTCAGAGAAATGAAAGACCCCTAGAAGTAACTCACACCCTAGGATTATAAGCTGGACCCAGCTGGGTGACTATTCATGGGAATACTTAATGCTATTATCTAAGCATTCCCCCAAATAAAAAACAATGGGCCCAGATGCCATGTTACCCAGTTTATAAAGTTCTTGTTTGAAAGAGAAAATCCTAGCTTGTTTCTTTTGCAAATAGCCTTGATTATGGATGGAGGCAGGGATCATACCTTAATTATGTCTATACAAGTTTTTTCTTGGTGATTATCTGGGCAAATTGGTGAAGTTTCAAATGAAAATACTCATTAAAGTTTCCACCAGTGGGGGATAATCACATCGTTATCCTGGCTTATTTGGTAAACATGGTATTTACCAAT